GCTCGATTGGAGCTGGCGTGCACCAAGCTTGAGATCGGCGTGCTCGCCAGACCAGCCTCACATCCACCAGAGGCCAGTGCATGCCGGACATCTGCACAGGTCCCTGTGAGCAGGGGCTCACGACCATGCCTGCGGGGTTGTGCCAGCTCGCCAGAAGAGACACAGTCCTGTCACCGGGTTGGAAACTGGTTTGGGGAGTAGGTCTGGCCGGATGGCTCCCTGGCCTCAATCAGGTGATGGGGGTGCGTGGTGAGGCGTTGTCGGTGATGTCGTGCAGACGCACCTGCACGGCATCTGCAATCACACCCGGCGTGGTAAAACCGGGGGAGCAGGGGTTGTGTGTTGTAAGTTGTGGTGTGATGTGCGGCTGGCAGCTTAAGAGCTGCAGCTGATGACAATAAATGGCTCTAAATGATGATCTGTGGTCCCGCCGTGCCTTATTCACACCACAATGGGATTGACAGAAAACTCTCAAAGCTTTTGCTAAAAAAAACAACAAGGAGGAAGAGGAGACATTTACACTGAGATCTGAGCTTCTGGAGGGCATGTATTACTATGGCACAGAGAATCACTCATGGTTCAGCTGTACTTGCCCCTGAGAGGATGCTAATCAGACTGTGAGGACTTTAGAAGAACCGCCTGTGAGGAAGAAACATCAAGCTGCTCTTTTTCCTTTAAAAAAACGAAAGAAAGCAGAAGACCCTTTTGTAAGAAGGGATCACGTCTGTCGACCTTATTGTTGTTCAACCCCCCACAAAAAACCTCTCTCCAATCATTTGGTAAGCACCGATTTAAGTGCTGTTGACTCACCTGATTGTTAAGGATGACAATTATGTTTATTTATGTCCACTTAATGAATATGTTCAGTGCTGGAGAGCTTAACATGGTCAGTATTGAGTGGACAGACTGGCCATAAAAATGGTCTACCAAGGCAAATAAAGATGGAGTGAAGAGCAGAAGAGCAGAAGAGGTTATTAGGCAGAGAATTGAGGTTATCATATTGGGCTTTGAGAGCTGTTGGGCGCTATTGTTAAATGAATGTCTTGCTGCTTAGAGGAAGAGGCGTCTCTGGTGTTCAGGACTCAGCTCGTACCAGCTATTGATTACAGCCAGTGAGCAAAAGCTCCACGTGATCGCAGAAACAAAATAAAATCACTCGTCTTCGTCTAGCTCCCCATGTCTGCACTGTCAGCACAGTAGGACAAATCAAGCCTCATTTCCATCCCTTCAGAAGCTGCCACTTACCCACTTGGTGCCATTCATTTTGGTACAAGGTGAGAAATAGCTTTCCCACTCTCAAAAAGTGCTCATGACTCTTTGTCACAACAAACATAGCGACTGAATTTTTGGTCGCTCTTATCCAGTTTCACTACACTGGGCTCTGCTCTGCCACAACAATATTTCTCACATGTGACATTTTTACAAGAATGACAAACTAAACTTACACAAGTGTGCAGGAGACAGTATTATCTCTCAATATAATAAGGTAACTGAAAGAACTGCTGCTGGCTGGAATGAAATCATTTATTTTGACATAACTACAGAAAAATCATACATGCTTTCCATAGATGATTTCTGTGTCAGTTTAGAAGTGATTGAGCATGACTGTTTGATATATCATCAAACTGGGTCACAGCTGTTGCTAAAGTGTCTTATTTTGATGACCTAATTGAGAAACATTCGTTGATGTTTAAATCACCTCAAAGTTTATCCCTTACTACTCTAATTAGTCTTGACAGCGAACTGACCTGTTTTTATCGGCCCTCTTCATGTCAGTTTAAATGAGGTAACAACCTGAACCTCGACTGTAAGCGCTGAAAGGTGTGCTGAAACCCCACTTGAATTATGGAATGGTGAAAAAAGCAATATGAAAATTTACAAACTCCCAAATGTTGCATCAGAAAGTATACATGAGAGCGCTCTCATT